GGGCCTGACACCACAGGTGGCTCTGCGAAGCTAAATTGCTCAGTCTTTGGTTTCAACCCTGGGTGGCAGGGGTCAGGCTTCAGCTATCTTCCCTGGGCCCCAGCAAGCCGCCCCTGCTCTCTGGTTTATTTTGGCGGAGCCCCTGAAACCTGCTTGCGGGTCCTCAGGGGGCCCTACACCTGCCCTTAAACCCCAAGGCCAGTTTTTGTGGTTTTAAAAACACTTAACTTTTTTTTAAAAATCCTTCATCTTGCTATGTGAAAGACCCACACAAACAGGAAGAAAAAGCAATTGACTATACTGAGAAAACAGTGAAAGGACTAACAAGACACAAACAGTTCTCAAATGCACAAAGCACAGAAACTGAAAAGAACAAAAAAAAATTCTTTAATTTGTTAGTGATCTTACTTTTCTTCACACCAAGTATAAAGTTTCAAAGGGAACTATTATTTTAAAATGTATTAGTTTTCCCTCTAAGTTAATCTTGAAAACAGCCAGGAAGAGGTTATTTTCTCTAGTTTACCATTGCTTTTTATGACAAAAAGTTAAATTATATAACACATGCAAACACACTTTCACAGGTTCTGCTGAGTTGACATGCTCCTTATTCTAAGCCCATTTGGATGTGATGCCTTAGCCTTGTTGCTTGATAACTGAAGATAAGAATTATAAACCCAGTAAATTCTGAACATAAGCAAGAGAGTGGGAAACAAATAAAACAAGAGCTATGCATACCAAAGCAGTGCCTGTTTCCAGATTTTTTTTTTAATTGTTTACTGATTCTCAGACACTATAATCATCAGGGTACAACAGCTGAGCTTATAGTTCTACCCAACCATAACAAAGAAAAAGATATGGTGTGCACCCCACTTTCTCTCTTATTTTTGGCCGTCATGTTTCTACAAAGAAAGATTTTTTTTCTGCTGTATTTTATTTTGAAGGTAACAGGAATGTCAAGTTATATTTTCTGGTTTTGCTGGAGAACTCGAAGATTTTTAAGGATGTGGTATATAATAAATATTGAATAGTATAGAGAAGGTAGAATTACTATAAATATTTGACAGGTTTCAGAGTAGCAGCCGTGTTAGTCTGTATCCGCAAAAAGAAGAACAGGAGTACTTGTGGCACCTATTCTATTCTATATGCATCCGAAGAAGTGGGCTGTAGTCCACGAAAGCTTATGCTCTAATAAATTTGTTAGTCTCTAAGGTGCCACAAGTACTCCTGTTCTTTTTATAAATATTTGATCTTTCCCATAATAGGAGTAAGGGGAAATTCAAAGAAACTGAAAAGCAGCAAGTTTAACCCACATAGAAAGGAAGTACTTTTTCTATACAGCACACGGTTAGCCTGTGGAATGCCATATATCATGGAGGCAAAGAGCTTAGCGTGATTCAAAGAAGGATTGGCTATAAAGATAAGAACAGAGATAGAATAGCAAAGATTAAAAAACAAGCAAAATTAATAAATCAAGGGTCTGGAAGAGAAATCCACATACTTCAAGACATAAACCAGCTCCTAACTAGTGGGGTTGGGAAGAAATTTTCTTTGTGGGTAGGTTACTCCATAACTCTCGACTTGTGTACTTTCCTCTGACAGTATCTGGTAGTGGCTAAAACAGAATACTGAACTAGATAGACCACTGATCTAATCCAGTCTGGCAAATCCTATGTTCCTAAAATATTGCTTCCTCTCTCACTGGCTTGGTGCATCTGATGTTATAATCCTACCAGGTTCCCTGTCATAATCCTGCTTTTCCTGGACGACTTGACAGACTAGACTTCAATTTCTAATAAAAAATGTAAAGCTCTTTTCAGGCCTTGTATTAAACATGATTAGGCTTGGAAGTGTTAGATTTTATCAGTAAATGTTGGTAAACACCAGTTTCGTCATATGCACCCAATCTGATGAAAAAAATATTTCCATCGATAATAAAAATTTACAGATAGGCAAACGTAACAAAAAAAGGTTCCTTGAGAAATTAGATGCGGTCATTAAATAATTAGTCTGACAATCACATAATTTCCTGCAACTATGAATATTTTAAACTTTTATTTGTAACAATTTAAATTAACATTGATATTATCCATCAAAATCATAAAAAAATAAAAATTGATTTCTGCCAAGCCTATACATAATAAAGAAGTGAAAAATCTTCCTACCCCCTTTTTGAAGGCACTTTTCAGTAGAATTGAAGTTTACAGAATAACACAAGTTCTCTTGCATCTAGATTCCTGTGGGATTTTTTCAGTAAGAGAATCAATGAACAGTTTTGTCCCAAATCACAAGGAGGAATCTTCCATTAAGTTTTCCCCTATCCACCCAATGAACCATTAAGTGGTATGTTAGCTTCAAAATATGCTATTTGCCAGCAAAGTATGTTCAAGTCCTAAGCAATTACTAATCAAACCTGATAATATTGCAGGTGAGGGTTCTATGGCACAATTTCCAGCATCCATGGTGCTTAACAATGTACTTCAGAAGCCTTCAGTACCTTTATTGAGTTTACCAATTGTGAACATGAAGAATGTTTTAGATAATAAAGGAACAGACTTCTCAAAAGATATGGTGGGTCATAAATGACAAACACAATGTTCTATATCTTTCAAGAAGTATATTCCATAACAGAATATGGTGGCAACTGCCTTATAGAAAATGTTTTTAAATTCAACACAAGTCTAAGATTTTTAAATATTTATCTTTTCCGGCTTCAGAGCACTATTACACATTAGTCCTCACAACATATCTGTGTAGTAGATATTATCCTCATTTTAGAAATAGACAAGTTATGGAAAGCCAATTTTTTCCTTACACTTTATCTATTTAAAGATCATGTGATAAAAAATGCAATGTACAAAGACTAGGGTATACATGAAATAGAGGGAAAATATGACGAGAGAGGAAAAGCAACTGTCAACAGGAATTATAAACCTCAATCCAGTTAAAACCAAAAGCAATTTACAAACGTTTCTATTTACATACACTGACTAATGAAGAAATTCTGCACCATAAAATGAATCAAGTAATTCTTCTGAACTGTGCGTGTGTGCAGTCCATCAGTTTGACGATTATGTTTTCATGCTCCTTTTTCTCTCTTCTGAACTACTTAAGGTCCTAAAACTGTGATAGTAGTAAACAGTACTTGAAAATTTACCTGACATCTATTTGCCAGAGGTAGATATGAAAGAGAGAAATATGACCACCCTCAAGTCCTGGAGTGGTAACTTGGCGAGAAGCCCAACCCCTTCTCAATGCAAGCAGATGGATCTGAGGATCTCTGCCATGGTGCTGTACCCAGGTCCTGCTTGGAACTATTTTTCACATCTGTCTCTGCTTAGTAGGTGCTGGATGAATGTGTAGCTCCAGTAGCCTCTAGCTGCTGGAAAGGAGAAGTACTGTTTTGTTTCTTCTCTACCTTCCACCCCAGAGCTTCCTGGGCGTTTCCAATACTTTTCACCTTCCCATCCTCCCAGTTTTTTGTTTGTTTCCTTCCTTTCTTCCTTCTCCCTTTTCCCATAGTTGTAGTTCATGGCTCTGCTGCTGATAGCTTTCCAGAAGCAGTAACAGTGTGACATTGACAGCATACTTAAAATGTCACTGCTGTCCACCCTGTTCTGAATAACAGAGGTGAAACTGACCAGATTCCTGTTAGTTTCATGCTCCTACTACTGGGCAAAGCTATGAGTGTTGGTACTGAAGTGGTCTCTCTGCACTCAGAGGAAAATACATTACATTCATTTTTTTAAATTAAAAGTTAAATTCTGCAGAATCTGATGGTTTAGGACTCCACGTTTGCTAGGAAAGATTTCCACTTGCCATTGGAGAGTAGATTTTTCAAAGTTCTAGTAGAAGATGTAACTACCAGTATATCAATTTCCAACTATATGTTCATGGACTTCTTGATATCACATCCATTTTTAGCTCACTCACATAATGCAACATGAGGCTTGCAGGGACACACATCCTTTTGCTACAGCAAATCCGACTTGCCTTGGAATGAGACCATTTCCCCTATTCTCCAAGGGCTATGCTTCAAACACAAGAACGATCTACGCCCTAATGCTACAGACACTTACAAATGTGAGTTCTCCACCTGACATCAGTGGGACTACTTCATATGCACAGAGCACATGAAAGTGTATGCGGGGCTTTACATTCTAATAATTCCAAAACCATGTTTATCCTATCCAAGCTACAACAGCTGCAGATTCGGAGCTTCCAGGCAACAGTATCCTGGCGTAGATGGATTTTATTAAGACCTCAAGGAAACCAGAGTATAAAAATGGTTGTTGTTTATTTTTTAAACTGGCTTAATATTAGGCCATCCATTTTCATTTAAATTCTACTGTTAAAAAAATGTAAGCATGTAGTGCCATCTACTTGTGAAACTTCTAGCAGACTTGTTTATATTTAGGATAAATCTGAAGTTGTGGGCCTTCAAGTTTTGTTTTGTTTTTTGTTCAAAGTTGAATAAAATACTTAGCACTCTGTGCTTTTTCTCCAACAATCTCAAATACAATAACTGGCATTTTTTAGGCTATGCTTTTTCATTAGCTGTAAATCTCTGTTAAATTAAAAAATCAAGCCAAGTAGGAAAAGAAAACACACTAATAGTATTAAACATGTTTTACTTAGCATACACACTACAACTTAAAAAAAAAACATGTTAAATGACTTAATACAAGGTACTAGCAGTAATCTTTAAACTAACACCCAAAGCAAATATCTAATTCTTGTTCTAGCAAAAAAGACAAAACACAGGAATTTTGTTCCTGGTATTAAACTCTAGCACTGAAAACATTAGGAAGTCTTCTGCACATCTTCCACCACAGAAACAAGTTCTCACTAGAACTACCGGAATGGGGATTAATAAGCACCCAAGTGTGGGTACACCCTCTTTCAGGAAGCCTTCCCAGCATATTTGTCTAGTTAGTAGCTGGCCCTTTAAATTTGTGAGGGCAGGACACCCAACTGCAGCCCAGCCCCTAAGTGCTAGTTCACATCCAGTTGCTCTAGTCTAGACTGTCTCCACACTCCCTCCTAGCTGGTGAGTAAGATTAGCCTCTGTTTTCCTTTTGATTTATTCCTGAGATGATGATACATCCCAGGAGAGATGTTCTACTCTTATAAACTCCATAACCTATATTAGTTCTAGGTTTCTATATTTTCCTTAAAAACAACAACCAGCGCCAGGAAACTAAACAAGCGCAAAAATATTAGAAATAAAATAGACAACAAAGCTTGGAGGGATCCCAAAACAAAAGGTGCCCCTCTGCACCACCTCCCAAGTGGGCGTGTTTTCCTGGCCCCAGGCACCGTCCACTACATGCTCGGTGGGGCTGGGGGCAATGGCTGGGCAGGAGCAGACTCGCCTTTGGCCACTTCTCCCCGCACACGTTGCACTAAGGCCGATGGCAGGCGCCTAACCCAGTACTTGGCAGGGCAGCCCCCTGTCCCAGCGCAGCCCTGCAGACGGAGGCGGGCCCAAGTCCCGCAGGCAGGAGCTGCCTGGAGCGGGGTGCACCTACCCGTCCCGCCCCCACCCCGGTACTTACAGGGTGACCGTCCTGTTGGGCAGCGCGTCGGGCGGCAGGACTCGAACGAGCTCCAGGCTGCTGCAGACCATCTTCCCCTCGGCCGGGGACCTGCCGGGGCTCCTGGGGCGGCCGTCTTGTTTGCATCCCGGCGGCAGCGAGGCACCGCCGCCGCCGAGCAAGGCGAGGAAGAGCAGAGCGGGCAGCAGCCAGGACGAGGGGCAGCGGCCCGGGCGCGGCATGGCGGGGAGCGCAGCGCCCGTTCGGAGACTCCGAAGGCGCCGCGGGAGGAGGAGGAGTCTCCGGGCCAGGAGTCGCTGTTCCCCGCGGCCTAGAGCGGCCGTGAGCGCCCCGGGGGCGGGGCCGGAGGCGGCGTTTGTGTTGCTAATGCCGCCGCCATGTGGTGCTGGAGCCGCGGCCGCCGCTTCCCCCCCTCGCTTTGCGGGGCGCGGAGCGGGCTTCGGGCAGCTCCCACCGCGCCAGGGCCACAGCGGGAGTCACAGCACCGCCCTCAGCCGACGGCGCTGCAGCCCAACGGTCCAGCAGCACTGTTCCTCTCTCGCGGCCAACGCGCAGGCGCCTGGCAGCTGCTGCGCAGGCGCGCTTGCTGGTTGGAAGCCGCGGCAGGCGGAGTGGCGCTGCAGCGGCAGCGGAGGCGACGGGAAGCGAGTGGCCAGGGCAGGAGCGGTGGGGTCGCTGGCAGCTGGAGGCGCCGGCGTTGACCCAGCGGGTTTGTGGTTCGGAGTGGTGGCCCGGGCGGGGCACCCAGGCCATCGTGCCAGCGCCTTCCCGGTGTATGCTGCCTCCCTGCCCTTGCTGACCAGCGCAGCCCCTCAGAGCCCTCTGCTGGGGAGCACCATTGCCCCGGAGCAAAGGGAGCGCGACTCGCCCGAGCTCAGCTGCACGCAGTGCGGGGCAGAGTTAAGGGGGGGGACCCCAACGTTGTGACTCCCAATCCTGTGTTCCAACGCAAAGACTTTCCTTCCTCCCCAGGTGCTTCAGTCCTGGCATCGCCCCCCTGCACCTGTCAACTCCTTACTGCTTAAGATGAACTGTCTCTGGGGTACTAAAGTAACATTAATTAAACCCTTCCACCTGCTCAGGGCAGTGAGAGAGAATCAGCTCACTCATCTTTTCAGGGGGCATTGCAGAGTTTCATTTTCATTCTCAGCCCTGTCTATGCTTCTAGCCGTGCAGCTACACCATTGTTTGTACCGCTTAGTGAAGGGGCTATCCCTGTCGGCGTAGGTACTCCACCTCCCCGAGAGGTGGTAACTATGTCAATGGGAGAAACCTTCCTGTCAGCATAGCGCAGTGTACATCTGCAGTTTGGTGGGTATAGCTGTATCACTCAGGGCAGGTCTACACTTAAAATGCTACAAAGGTGAAGCTGCACCAATGCAACACTACAGTGAAGACACTACTATGCCAACAGGGAGAGTAGTTAATCCACCTCTGTGAGAGGCCATAGCTTTGTTAACTGGAGAAGCCCTCCCATCAACATAGCACTGTCTACACCAAGGTTAAGGTTTGTATAACTACGTCATTCAGGTGTGTGGATTTTTCACACCTCTGAGCAACGTGGTTATACCCATGTAAGTTTATGGTGTAGACCTGGTCTCACAGGTCTATACCCCAGATCAATGCAGTTATACCAACATATATTTGTAGTGTAGACCAGAGCTATGTATGTCATTCTGTTGGTTTCTCTTTGTTCCAGACCTTTCATTTGCTCAGCTTGATTTGTGTCACTGGGCCATATTGTGCAATCACATTTTAAGCAGGTCCCCTCATTGAAATCACTAGGGAGTCCTACTCATGGTGTGATCAGGACCTGTTCTTCCACTTACCTTCTCTTTCAACTGCTTCCTTTTTTTTTTTTTAACCTACACTGCCTTTCCACATTTCAATCACTCACTCTCATGCTGGTTCTGATCTTCCATCCTCTCTTGTTGAAGGGGCATCATCTACAACACTGTGCTTGTTGTTTGAATGGCAACAGAGACAAAGTGTATTATCTATGTTAGGTACTTATGTGGCCTCTATTACCACAGTAACGATTACCTCAGAAGCCTCAATGTATTTATGCTCACAACATCCTTGTGTGGTAGAGAAGCACTATTATCCCTATTTTACAGATAGGGGAATTGAGGCACAGAGAGTCAATATTGCCAACCCCAGGCATTATAAAAATAGAATTCAAAAAAAATCAGTGGGCTTTTAAAAAGTGCATTTTGGTTTCTTGTTATGTCTTCTGGTTTCTGGGCCTTTTGGGTGTACTCAGGTTATGCTTTCAAACTTTTCTCTGCAACCATGAGAACTAGAAATGTACTTTCATTCTAAATGAAAATTGAGATTTTCACCTAATCACTTTCCTTCAGCAGCTGGGACTTTAAGAAAATCATGAACTACTGGGACATTTTTAAAAATGATAAGAGTTGGCAGCACTTATTTATGCACACCTCCCCCCCCTTCCCCTCAGTGTGACAGGTGTTTACATAACAAATACAAAGATAGGTCCCTAACCAAGAGGTCTTATAGAGCAGCTGCTATTCTTATGTAAGAGTGCTGGGTGCAGCTGGAGAGTTCAAAATCTCCTGTTGCACACAGCAATGCAGAGCTGTGAATGCTGACAAGAACAAAAAGAGCTCCCAGCTGTGGCCAGGACCAAGTTCTGGTTTGTGTTCTATTGGGTGAATGTAAAGTTAAAGTAAAACAAAACAAAAAGATTCTTTACTAAAAGCTTTCTTTTAATTAATAAGGAAACAGAGTTTGCAGACTAATTTTAGATATGACTCAGTGTATGAGAGTAACAAACATTAGGAGATGTGGATTAGGGCAAGGTGGGACAAATAAGATTATAATTATTCAGTTATGGTGTGTACACATATATGTAAGCACGCTATTACATTCCCCCTCAGTTAACAGTATGGTATCTTACTGTTAAAAGTGGAACCGATCAGATATTTTGTGTTATTCTTAACTTCTCTTTCTACTCTTCTTATTTGTTCTATACTCTTTCTTAGAATGCTCTTATTCAGTCAAATGGGTTCAACTACTGTCCCTTGCAAATTTACCTTTTCATTCCCCTCTCAGATACTGATTTAGGAAAGCACTTAAGCATGTGTTTAAGTCCCATGGAAGTTAATGTTACTTAAGTACTAGCTTAAAGTTAAGCATATGCTTAAGTGCTTTCCTGAACTGTGTGTATATATGTCTGATAGTAAACTTAATATGCCCCAAACTGAACTCCTTATTTTTCTTTCCACATAATCCCCACTCCTTCTTTGTCACTGTTAACAAATCACCATTATCCTTGTCACTCAGGCATCTAACCTAATGAGTCATCCATGACTCCTATTTTCTCTAGTTGCAGACCATTGTATCTAGTTTGTCCATTTTTCACTCTTATTTTAAATGGCTATTGGCAATTTTTCTTAATTATTTTTGCACTATTCTTCCAGCTCTACTAACTACTAAAATCTTGTCTCCAAGATATCAAGAGGGGAGCAGACCCTATTTGAAATAAATAGTTTCAGTGTTTAAACAAAAGAGAGGTCTGGCAGCACTTCACATCCTTCATATGTCCTCACCATAGAGAGAGAGAAACAAGTGCTCACTTATCTTTACTGGTAATTTCTGTCTGTTTTGCATTCTCACTGATTCTTAACTTTGCTGACTCCTCTCCTTTTCTTTCATGAGCTCAGGATCTCACATCCCTGCACATTTTTACTAAGCTTCTATCCCCTTCTCTTTAATGATTGTTCTCTGCTCTCTCCTCTATCGCTGTGCTGTCACTACCCTCAATTTTTCTCCCTTTTACTCTTGTCTGCCATAGAATCTTCCATCTACAGCATTCCATCCCCTCTGTTAATGGAACATCACCCACTATGTTTCTGCTTACTACAGCAGTTGCCGTTAAAAAGTAAGCATGTAGCAATAGTTAAAACTCAGCAATGTCTGCAATACTAACAAAATCATCCAAAGCCCAAGATTTGGTGGTGATGGGGGACTTCAACTATCCAAATATATGTTGGGAAAATAACACAGCGGGGCACAGACTATCCAACAAATTCTTGGACTGCATTGCAGACAACTTTTTATTTCAGAAGGTTGAAAAAGCTACTAGGGGGGAAGCTGTTCTAGATTTGATTTTAACAAATAGGGAGGAACTCGTTGAGAATTTGAAAGTAGAAGGCAGCTTGGGTGAAAGTGATCATGAAATCATAGAGTTTGCAATTCTAAGGAAGGGTAGAAGGGAGAACAGCAAAATAGAGACAATGGATTTTAGGAAGGCAGATTTTGGTAAGCTCAGGGAGCTGATAGGTAAGGTCCCATGGGAATCAAGACTGAGGGGAAAAACAACTGAGGAGAGTTGGCAGTTTTTCAAAGGGACACTATTAAGGGCCCAAAAGCAAGCTATTCCGCTGGTTAGGAAAGATAGAAAATGTGGCAAAAGACCACCTTGGCTTAACCACAAGATCTTGCATGATCTAAAAAATAAAAAGGAGTCATATAAAAAATGGAAAGTAGGACAGATTACAAAGGATGAATAAAGGCAAACAACACAGGAATGCAGGGGCAAGATTAGAAAGGCAAAGGGACAAAATGAGCTCAAACTAGCTACAGGAATAAAGGGAAACAAGAAGACTTTTTATCAATACATTAGAAGCAAGAGGAAGACCAAAGACCAGGTAGGCTCAGTGAAGAGGGAGAAACAGGACCAGGAAACTTGGAAATGGCAGAGATGCTTAATGACTTCTTTGTTTCGGTCTTCACCGAGAAGTCTGAAGGAATGCCTAACATAGTGAATGCTAATGGGAAGGGAGTAGATTAAGCAGATAAAATAAAAAAAGAACGAGTTAAAAATCACTTAGAAAAGTTAAATGCCTGCAAGTCACCAGGGCCTGATGAAATGCATCCTAGAATACTCAAGGAGCTAATAGAGGAGGTATCTGAGCATCTAGCTATTATCTTTGGAAAATCGTGGGAGACGGGAGAGATTCCAGAAGACTAGAAAAGGGCAAATATAGTGCCCATCTATAAAAAGGGAAATAAAAACAACCCAGGAAACTACAGACCAGTTAGTTTAACTTCTGTGCCAGGGAAGATAATGGAACAAGTAATTAAGGAAATCATCTGCAAACACTTGGAAGGTGGTAAGGTGATAGGGAATAGCCAGCATGGATTTGTAAAGAACAAATCGTGTCAAACCAATCTGATAGCTTACTTTGATAAGATAATGAGTCTTGTGGATAAGGGAGAAGCTGTGGATGTGGTATACCTAGACTTTAATAAGGCATTTGATACAGTCTCGCATGATATTCTTATCGATAAACTAGGCAAATACAACTTAGATGGGGCTACTATAAGGTGGGTGCATAACTGGCTGGATAACCGTACTCAGAGAGTTGTTATCAATGGTTCCCAATCCTGCTGGAAAGGCATAACAAGTGGGGTTCCACAGGGGTCTGTTTTGGGACTGGCTCTGTTCAATATCTTCATTAACAACTTAGATATTGGCATAGAAAGTACGCTTATTAAGTTTGCCGATGATACCAAACTGGGAGGGATTGCAAC